ATTTGGGCTTTCAGAAGGCTTTTGAGAAAGTCCCACATTAGAGGTTAATATGTAAAACTAAAACACAATAGGATTGTGGGTAGTGTTTTAAGATGGATAAAAAATTGGTTTGCAGACAAGAAATAAGAGTAGGTAAAAAAAAGGGTCTTTTTTCTGAATGGCAAGCACTGACGAGTGGGGTTCTACACAGATAGGTGCAGGACCCCAGCTATTCACAATATATCTTTCTTTAGATGAGGGAACTGATTGTAATACCTCAATTTTTCAGGTGATACAAGACTGGCTGTTTGGTAAATGCAGTGATGTTGTAGCGTGATTTTAGACAAGCTGTGAATAGGCAAATACATGGCAGGCATAGTAAATTGTGGTTAAATGAGGTTATCCACATTGGTAGCAAAAATGGGAAGGCAGATTATTATTTGAACGGCTATAACTTGTAAAAGGGAAATATTCAATAGGACTGTGTCCTCATGCACCTGTTGCTGAAAGTAAGTATGCAGGTGCAATAAGCAGTAAAGAAGGCAAACTGTATGTTGGCCTTCATTGCAATTGGAATTAAGTACAGGGTCTAGGATGTCTTGCTGCAATTATACAGGACATTGGTGAACCTGGAAAGTTGTGTGAAGTCTTGGTCTCCTTTATCTGAGGAAGGATGTTCTTGCTGTAGGACGAGTGTAGTGAAGGTTTACCAAAATGATTCCTAGGATGGCAGGACTGACGAGAGAGTGTGTTGGTTAAGAATGTATTCACTGGAGTTCAGAAGAATGAGAAAGGTTTCTGTGAGATCCTATCAAATTCTAAGGTGACTAGTCAAGTTAGATGCAGGAAGGATGTTGCCGATGGTCGTGGAATCCAGAATCAGGAATCATATTTAAGTGGTAAACATTTTGGGTCTGAGATGAGAAGTTTCTTCACCGAGCCTATGGCATTCACTACTGTAAAGTGGTTTGCGGCCAAACCATTGCGTTTTTCAAGAAGGAGATAGAAAGCTCTTGTGACTAGAGAGACCAAGGTTGGGTGGGGGGCAGAATTGGGATATTGAGCTTGATGATCAGTCATGACCATATTGAATGGTGGAGCAGGCTCAAGGGATCAAATGGCCTATTCCTGCTAGCAAGAACGTAAGTAGCCTCCCTTCCCACCCCAAAAAAGAGCATATTCCAATTCACGTCCTCAATTACGTACTACAAAAAAAATACTCAAACGCTAAAAATGCAAAAGCGCTTCACTGGATGTAAACAGAATTGAGGATGCAAGAAAAATTATGCAGGCTGAGTTCATTGCTATGGAATAGCAAAAAACTATAAGGAGACCTAAAAAACAGGTCTTTAAAATTTGAGGGGGTTCAACAGGGTGTAAGTGGGGAAAAAATGTTTCCACATGGATAAATCCACATACCAAGAAAAATATAAGAAAGCTACATAAAGATCAAATAAAGAAATTAGAAGGAATATTTTTATGTAGCAACTGGTAAGAATGTAAAACCTGCTGCCAAATGGAATGGATGACAATAATCACAAAGGGCTGGGTTTTTATTTATAACGTGAGTTCCAACAGGCACTCTATAATTGCCCTATTTATGATGTATGCACCTTTGTGGCTAATACACTTTGCATATATATGCAGCAATAAATGCCAGTTTTATTTGTAGAACCAGGAGCACCATTGCATCTCAGTAAACACACTGTACATGTAGTGGCACTCGAAGTTTGAGACCAACAGGAAAACATCTTTACACAAGTATTCTGACCAGGCTGAAACTGTCTTGCTGCCAACATACTGGAAAAACCAGTTAAACAAAAAGAGTTTCACTTCAATTGGCTTTTGAATACTGCAGTGATTCAACTTGCATTCAAGTGAAACTTTCATCACAAAGTGTGAGAATGAAATTATCAGAAGTGACTCGGTGGTTCTGATTTCATGAATTTAGTATCATTTTACTCGGTTTTCTGGATTTACTCTAACATGCATATTCCCATGGGATAACATTTTTAGAAACAATTCTCAAGGTATTAGCTAATTCTGGAATTAGCCATCAAGTAGCATATGTTCTGTCTTCTATCGTACCTTTATAATGGCAGACGGTTCTATTTGTATCATTCAATCAATTTACAATATGGCAAATATCCCTCCCTATTGTTTGCTCTCCTATTACACTGAAGAGCAAACTATTCTCTAAATGTACAGTACACATTATGAAGACTTGTGAAACACACCTTCTATCCCATGAATGGACTTGTATAGAAACTATCAATGCTTGACAAATGGATTTTGATCAAACAGTGGGGTATGAATTCTGCCAAATTTTTTAACTTGTTAATCCATTGATTGCCAGTAAGCACTGAGAAAGAAACTCGGTTCTTCTTATTTTGCACTAATGCTTAAACAAATTCCTATAAAACAGTAAAAGCTAGTCAAATGTCAGACCGCTTACTGTACTGCTGCCCCAAGTACTAAAACGAGCAAATGAAACTAATATACATCTTAAATACAAATTCTACTCACTCTCTATCATTACATATAATTTTCTATTCTTCCATCCTCCCTTTAGTGAAAGATCATTGACCTGAATCATGATTTGTTTCTTTTGTCTCCACAAATTCTGCCTGATCTGTGTATTTCCATCACTTCCTGTTTGAATCTCAGATTTCTAGCATCAGTAGTGACTTGATTTTGTGTGAATGAAGTCCCCATCAACTACTTATTTTAACGTTTGGAAGGATTAAAATAAAACCGTTGAAATTCAATTGATGAAAATAAATTCAATAGCATGTCATTTTCCTTAATGATTTTTAGAAGTTGTTAATGGGCTAACTACTTCAAAAAGTATTTGCACGACGATCTTCTTTTAAAAAAAGACTGTCACAAGAAATGTATTTTAAGTGAAATAGCAGCTTTTAACATTATTGTTCCTGAGTGCTGGTCAGATATCCCACTGATAGTACATGTTAAGATCATTGAATTGTCAAGGAATGTGGAATCATGGAATACGCCATTGCGTACATTTTATGGTCAGCTATTTCAATTTGCATGAAATGTACAATGGGAGCTGACCTGAAAATAGCTCAAATTGGGGATAGAAATATTTTCATAAACAGGTATTTTATTTTTAACATGAGGGCAAAATTGGTAACCAGTGCACAGTAAATAAAATCACCCTTTTTAAAAAGTCAGGCACTTGTAAACAGTCAGTCATTTAGCCCAGAATTATAAAACACAGGAGGCCATTCAACCCATCATTCCAACCCTATGAATTATCTGTTTGCCCCATTCTCCACTTTTACCAGAGCGCTGCAACCATTACTGTAGGTAGAGATTCAAATCCCTTTTGAAAGTTGCTATTGAATCTACTTCACCAATTTTCATGTTATACTTCACTCAATGAAAAAAAGTTTCCTCATCTGCCTCTGAATTAAATGTCAATTACGTCAAATCTGAATTCTCTAGCTACCAAACTTCCAGTCAGTGCAGTTTCTCCTCAACTACTGTTAAAGGCCTACAATTTTGAACACCTCCATTAAATTTCCTCTTACCTTCTCTGCCCTAAGAACAACAATCCCAGCTTCTCTAGTCTTTCCACATGAATGAAACCCTTAATATTTGATTCTATTAAATCTCCTTTCCTTGACAGCCTTTCTAAAGAACTGGACACAATATTTGAGCTGAGATATAACCAGTAATTTTATAAATGTTTATCATACAAACATGAGTTAGGAGCAGAGGTAGGCTATTTGACCCTTCAAACCTGCTATGTCATTCAATAAACTCATGACTGACCTATTTGTGTCACACATACTGCATAAATCTATTTCTAAAGAAAAGGGTCCTTTTTTTGCTTTTTTTAAATGTACTCTTTGTTCTCCCCTATACCTTCCTCCAATCACCTTAAAATTATACCCTCTCGTGATTGTCATTTTCGCCCTGGGGAAAAGTCTCTGGCTATCCACTCTATCTATTCCTCAAATTGATTACACTCTCTTCAATCACCTGCCAATTTTGCCAGTCTATGTTCTCCTGAAGTCTACCACTATCCTCCTTACTGAATACTACAATTTCAGTGTTTCTGTAAACTTTGAAACTATATCCTCTGTGCCCTCCTCTGTGCCCAAGTCCATATCCTTCATACACATTAAAAACAGTGAACCTAATATCCACACCTGGTAGGCTCAAACGTGTAGTTTTCACTAATTGTAAAAAAAAACCACTACCACCCTCCCTTTCCGTCTCACAGCCAATTTGGTACCAAAAGCTAACCCTGTTTTCCCTCTTAATTCCCTGGTTTCTGAAGATCATGAATGAATATAGGTACAAGGCTACAGGTACAATCCATGCTCCAGATAACATTTACAACCTGAGAGGAAAATTTCAGCAGTTTATAAGGATATCAAGCTCATCAGATTAGATTAAATCAATTCCTTGCACGTTACTTATAATTATACACGGACGTGGGATGAGGTTTGTTGTTTTTTTCCCCATATATTCTGACAGCGACCCATGATTTCTAAATAAACAGCAATGGTTAGGACATTCCATACTCTTGAAGCGACCTGATAATTGCAGAGTTCTTAAATGCCAGCGTATTATAATGGCCTTTTGTTCCTGTGAAGCCTTACCCCTGAGCAAGGGTGTCACATATTTAAATACAACCGAATCCGGCCCATGCGTGCTCTGTTCAAGGATGCCGTATGTCCTGGAATAAGTATTTTTAAGCTTCAGGCTGCAGTAGCAACCCGCCGCCAAAGCTGATCCACGTGGAGGGACTGCGGACCCGTGAGACTGGAATTGCGGATTTGGGAGACTGCAAGAACGCGGTGCGGTCTAGATCTGAGATTCCGGGCAAGGAAGGGGGAGAAGAGTGTAAAGCTGCGGCTCTGGAGCAGAGAGGGGTGGGGAGGGGGGGAATGAGCTGGGTTAAGTGTGTGTCTCCCCGTTTTCTGCAGAGCAGGCAGCAGTAACCTGGTGAGTGGGAGCGGAGGCAGTAACAACCCGGAAAAGGCTGGGTGAAACCATAGCACTGTATTTACTGTGGAGGAGCCGCGGAAAATGGTTTCCCCTGTTGGGTAAATCGGGGAGCCGGAGGTACAGAGCGAGAACTGCCAGAGGATGATCATCACCAGCTCCGATACACCGTTTACTTTAGGTGGCGGTACAGTGGGAAGCGACCCGATACGTGATCCACTTGTTCTGGGTTCCAGTCTCAACTCAGAATTTGATGACTGAGGTGTTTATAACCTGACACAAACAGGTTGAATAGTATGATTTATTTTTTTAAAAACCGCGAATGCTGGAAACATCAAGTTTTCACAGACAGCAATGGAAGGTGGTAAGAGTGTGAGAGATTTCTGGTTGGCCATGGGACGGAGTGAAGGTTGGAGCATCTATTAATACTCTGCATAGCTCCAGATTACAGAATATATATCAGAATGCATGTTGCCACTACAACTTGCATTCTGTGTGAACTGTAATGCACCATTTCCTTTAATGACTGCTGTAGAACTAGTGTGAGCTTGCAGGGCACATGCTCTACCTGGTTGTCTGCACATGTTCCAGAAGGACTCTGAGACATGTGCCAGACCCTTTACTTGTTTAAGTCGTTGAATTTGAGGCATTTATCAGATCCAGCTAACAGCAGTAAGGACCAGTATCACAGCAGACTTGCCACAGGCACAGAATCACACACCTGGAAATTGGCACACAATAGTCTCGTGGGAAAAATGCTCAAGTCTGTAGTAAAAGATGTAGCTTTTCTGATGAAGGGTCTAGGCCCGAAACGTCAGCCTCTCTGCTCCTATGATGCTGCTTGGCCTGCTGTGTCCAGCCCTGCACCTTGTTGTCTCTTAAAAGATGTAGTAGCAGAGTACTTGGAAGATAATAACGGGATTGCACAGAGTCAGCATGGATTTACAAAGGGAAAGTCATGCATGACAAATTTGCAGACATTTTGAGGATGTAACAAGTAGAGTGGATAAGGGAGAACTGGTGAATGTGGTTTACGTAGATTTTCAGACTTTCAATAAGGTCCCACATAGGCTATCAGTATGTGAAACTAACCACATGGAATTGGAGATTGTGTACTGAAATGGAGTGAGAACTGGCTTTCTGAAAGGAAACTAAGATTAGGAATATTTCTCGAGTGGCAGCAGAGACTAGGAATCAGTGCTTGTACCCCAGCTATTCACAATCTATATTAATGATTTAGATAAAGAAATTATGTATTATATCTTCTAATTTTCAAATGATACAAAGCTGGATGAAAACATATGCCTTGAGCTACATGCAGAGAAGCCTCAGTGCTTTAAGTAAATGGGCAAATACATGGCAGATACAGTATAATAGGGATAAATGTAAGAATATCTGCTTGGTAACAAAAATGAGGAGGCGGATTATCTGAATGGAAATAGATTGGATTAGACAGGGTTGATGCAGGAAGAATGTTTCTGATGACCTCGGAGTTTAGAACCAGGGGTCACAATCTAAGGATAAGGGGAGGACCCTTTTTAGGACAGAGATGTGGAGAAATGTCCTCACCTAGGCAGAAGTGGACCTATGTAATTCTCTGCCACAGCAAAGCATTGAAGTCAAAACATTGAAGACTTTCAAGAAAATGTAGACATTGTTTTTATCCTACAGGATCAAAGGATATGGGAAGAAAATAGGAACAGGGCACAGAGTTGGATGATCAGCCATAATCCTGTTGAATGGCGGAATGGACTCAAAGAGCTGAGTAGCTTACTCCTGCTCCTATTTTCTATGTTTTAATTTTTCTAGGTATCTAAAAGGCAAGGTGTACACCAATTTCTACATAATGGTGTTCAATAACTTTTGTGACTGTAGTGAGTCTGGCATCCTGCCTAAGAGAGCCCATTCAATGAGAACATGCTTTGAACAAGCAACATAATCTAAAATGTGCTGTAGCGTGTGTGTATAGTTGTGGTAATGGGGACGTGTAGCCATATCAACTGAGAAATAGTTAGAAGGGCAAGTTTTTTGAACTGGAACGATGTGTAAAGTTCCACGAAGTCTGTATTGGGGTCACCCTCATTGCCTGTATTTGCAAATGACTTTAACTTGGTAACGGAAAGAAGAAACAACTGTTTACTGGCAACAAAACTGAGACATGGTAAATTGTTAAAGATTATTAGAGGACATAGATAAGCACATAGTTAAGACAAACAATTAGTGCATACATTTCAGTGTAGAAAATGTCAAATAGTGTATTTTGGAAGTAAGGATAAAATATGTGGGAAAGATTCTAAATGGATTAGAGTGATCTGAACATGTAATGCACATGTTATTAAAGGTAACAGTATAAGCAAAAGTCACAGAAGTTTGATTTCAAGGCACAGGCTCCCAAAACTAATGTACAAGTGCACACTTAGGTCACAATTGGAGTGTGATATACTTAGGCAATCCAAATTATTAGGATTATATAAAAGTAATAAAGCCAAAATGTAAATTTTCTATAAAGTTACTCGACTAAAGGGATCAAAGCTATGAAGAGATGCCTTGTTCTTTTGAGTTGTGGGCTGCAGACTTGACTGTCTCTGGTGTCCAATCTGATATCATCTATTAGGCTTTCATAGAGCATAGAACTTTACAGCACAGGACTGGGCCCTTTGGCTCATGATGTTGTGCTGAACATGACGCCAAATTAAACTAATCCCTTCCACCTGCCTTTGGCCCTCCATTCCTTGCATATTTGTGTGCTCATTTGAAAGTCCCTTAAACATCCCTATCATATCTGCCTCCACCACCACCCCAGCAGCACCAGACTCCTACCACTCTGTGTTTTAAAAAAAAACTTGACCCTTTGAACTTTCCCCCTCTCATCTTAAATTCATGCCCCTAGTATTAGACATTCCAACTCTGGGGGAGAAAGATTCTGACCATCATCATCTCTACTGAAATTTCTTACCACTGCAGGATCATGCTGGAATGCAAAAGCATCCTCTTTGTTCCTGTACCTCTAGCTGCCACCCTAAAATCCTTACCCTTTCATTCACCTTCACCTCAAACAAGCACAAGGAATTCAGGAACTTCTTTGCCACTGAAATTGAGACTGTTATGTTCATCTGCCTCTGCAGCATTTTTTCCCTTCATCCAACAAACCAAATTCTTGAAGCCTTAGCCCAGTCATAGCCCAGAACTCACTTTCTCTATAACTTCCTTCTATCTGTTCTCATTCTATCTTCTCCAAATTCATCTTATGCAGGTGACAAATCTATTGTTCCCTCTCAACTCCATCCCGACCAAACTATTGAACATAAAGTTTCTCATTTGGTTGCCCATTTTGGCTGATGGTATTAACAGTTATTTTTCTAAAGTACAATGCTCCTCCTCATAAAATCTGCTGCCACCAGCCAACCTCAAAATGTCCAGCATTGACTCCATCTGCCTTTATAAATTACTGCCTAGTAATTTACCTCCTTTGACTCTGCAATGTCCTGGAACATGCCAGTCTGTCCAACAACAACTAATTATCCTTGACCTACATGCGTGGAACCATTAACATGTCTGATCATGCCATTCTCTTGCATCATCCACCTGTTTGGAACTGCACCTGTCTGATTCCATCCTAATCTATCCAGTCATAGCCAGGGATTAACATTTAATTCTTTCTCCTCTCTCTCACCCTGTTGTCTTTGTCTTCCCCATGGATCTATCCTTAGCACCCTCGTATTTTTCATCTACATGCTGCCTCTTTACATTGTTTGAAAACTCAGCATCAGTTTCTACATGGAGGCTGACCACACCCCTCTGTACCTTGACTGGCTTTAGTACTAGCTAAGCAAAAATGTCCTGCAATGCAAAGTTGGGAAGACCAAAAGTGTTGTTTTCTACCCAACAAAAATTCTGTTGACTGTTTCCTTTTCCCCAGCAACTGTCTGAGGCTGAACCAGACCTTAGTGTCTTATTTGATCCCAAGATAAACTTCAAACCTGCTCCATCAACAGAATTGCTTCCACCTCCTAACATTGCATGCTTCTACTCATCTACTGAAACCTTTATTCATGCCTTTTATTTCATCCAGACTATTTGACTGCTGCATTGATCTTTGCATCTTTCATTATCATACCCTGAACTGGAGTTCTTCCAAACCTCTCCAACATTAGCACTGTAATGCAGTTGTAAAAGGTTTCATTTTTTGTACTGTCAAATTATTTGCAATTCTTCTGAGTATCCAATAAAATGAGAAACTGATATTTAGAATTATATGGGACATCCATTTGCATATTGATACGGTTGCCTATTTTACTTGACACGTTCAAGTACCATGTGTTGATGCAATAAGTCAGTTTTTGGTTGTGGAATCTACAGGTATGTGAAGATATTGACATTTAACTCATTGGTCTGTATTTTGAAATAATACTTTACATGTAGGAGATCACTTCCCAAATTGTTTCAAAAGTAGAGTTTATAGCCTGAATTTGCTCATGGTTCAAAGGTTCGCTGTCTTTTTAATTCTCCAGCCTCTTCTGTTTATCAGCACAATTCCAGTTATTAACTAGAAGTCCATGTTTGAGATGTTGAGTAACAATTAAATATGTGTGCTATAGTTGGGAATATTAAAGAAGTAAAACACCTTAACCTATTTTGATTGTTGCTTGAAATGTCTAACGTAAATAGTCTACACTTTCCCTGGATAATTTAAGAAATTGATTTAATAGTGAGACATTTTTCAATCAAGCAATAGTAAACCAACAATGACAAGTGATTCACTTATCTATAACTTTGTTTCCTAACTGAATTCTGTCTTCATTTAGGTGAAGTCTGCTTTCCACTTAGAGTGAGAGAAATGGATGTGAAAGGTGTGAAGGAAACCCTGTCTTGGCTGTATTACCAATACCTGCTTGTTACGTGCAGTTATGTGCTGGAGCCCTGGGAACAAACTGTTTTCAACTCTGTTTTGTTCATCATTGTGGCTATGGTTTTATATACAGCCTACGTCTTCATTCCAATTCACATTCGTCTGGCGTTGGAGTTCTTTTCTGGCCTAGGAGCAGGCCAACCTGAAAGCACAGTTGCCATCATGACTTAACCCACACTAATTTTAAACTTAAGACATTTTTAAATGAAAAAAATCTGTGAATCTAAGGACCCAGTGAAAACTTTGGCTTTTGAACTTACAGGTGTTTCTCCTATAACGCAATAGTTGCGTTCTTGTGTGACCTTGCGCTATAGAAAATCGCAATAGAAAATCACATTCTGGGAAATCACTATATCTGTACAGCAGAAAGTTTGCGTTATCCAAACAGCATCCACTATTCATCAATCACGTTACAGCCAATTCACGTTAACGAAACACGCATTATAGCAGAAATACCTGTGTACTTTGTGGCTGCACTCTTATTTCTTACGCACCTCAATCTTCTTGTGATTCAAATAATGTGGTAAATGGCATTATATATGAAAAAGAAAGCATGCAGTAGTTAAATTTAGGAATTCACCGACGTAAGCCAATAGAAATTTCACTTCAATGTGAAACTAACTATGATAACAGCAGCTGGAAGGAATAGATATGGGGGTCAAATATTTATTCATCCAATCGTGTATTTATCTAAATTCAATTCTGTCATAGTTCACATTCACAACCTTCTCTATTTTGTTTAATGTAGACCTTTTAATGCTAGTTTCATTCTAGAAATTTTTATGTAAAGAAAATTCAATTTTAAGGTGTATTTGCCTCAAAATCAGCAAATCGTAAAGAAGAAACAAATGTCAATTTATGTGACAAATCCAACACAAAAAGCTATAACATAAAAAGTGACATCTGGGTGCTATTGCAAAGTTCTGCTTGGTGTTAAATTTAAGGGCTGCTCTATAATGTTTATAGTTACTCTTAAGGAAGAGTTATTCATATTTATAATTGATGAAAGAACCATTTTCTTGCAATTGAATTGATCCAGTGCTAGGCTGTTTACAAAAAACTTCAAGCCATTTCAAAAAGTCTTTTTTTTTTTTGCAGCAATGCATGAAATGTGCTTTCACATATCATATTCAATAACACTATATTCGTGTTATAGTAAATGCCAATGATGCTATTGGACAAGGATGTTATAAATGGATACTTTGCTAATTAACCATGAAACAGTATGTCATGTACAAACTTCTATGCATCTAAAGTCTCTTTAAAGTATCATACTATTGTTTTTATGATTGGTAATAATTATCCGAATCAGATCCGGTGGAATATTTGTTACAAAGGCTATGTGCCTATTGTTCAGGAAAAGGCATTATAAAATGAACATTAACTTCTTGTCTATTCTGTTGTTCAGGAAAATCAATGGTTATACATGATTTTTCAATAAAGTTTGTTTAAAGTATCAACCTTCTAACGTCAACTTGGTTTGTGTCTAGGGTATTTTCTTTACTTACAGCTGTGAAACATTAAACAGAGGGTAAAATAGTTTTAATTTATGTCTGTTTTTAGAGGTCAGTTAAACTTCCAACCTAATTACACATAGAATCAGGGCACAAAAGAGGCCACTTATTCATGGTATTAGTGTCCTTTGAAAAATCTATCCAATTGGTTCCACTTTAGAGATATAGAGTAATACAAAACAGAAACAGAAGGGTCCAGACCCAAAACGTCAGCTTTCCTGCTCCTCTGATGCTGCTTGTGTTCATCCAGCTCTACACTTAGTTATCACAGAAACAGACCCTTCAGTCCAACTCATTCATGCCAAGTTTCCCAAACTAAACTAGTCCCATTTGCCTGTGTTTGGCCCACATTCCCTCTAAACCTTTCCTATTCATGTGACTGTCCAAATGTCTCTTAAATGTTGTAACTGTACCTGCATCTACCACTTCCTCTGGCAGCTCATTCCATACCCGCACCACCCTCTTTGTGGAAAAATTTGCCCCTCAGGTCCCTTTTTTAAGTTTTTCTTCTCTCACCTTAAAATTACACCGTCCTAGGTATCAGCTCCCCTACCATAAGGAACAGGCCTTTGCCATTCACCTTATCTATGTCCACCATTATTTTATAAATCTCTGAAGTCTCATTTCAACCTCCAATGCTCCAGTGAAAAAAATCCCAGCCTCTCCTTATAACTTAAACCCTCCAGTCCCAGTAACATCTTTAAAAATCTTTTCTACAAACTAGCAATCACCTTCCTTTAGCACGGGTGATCAAACTGTACACAGTTCTCCAAAGTGGCCTCACCAACGTCCTGCACAATCACAACATGACGTCCGAACTCCTATACGCAATGGTCTAAGCAATGAAGGCAAGCGTGCCAAACACCTTTACTATCTTGTCTACCTGTGATGTCACTTTCAAGGATCTATATACCTGAACGCTTGGGTGTCTCTGTTCAATAACACTCCCCAGGGTCCTACCATTAACTCTGTAAGTCCTGCCCTTGTTCATTTTACCAAAAATAACATCTCATTTCTTTTTCTTCCCATAGCTCATCAATATTTTTCTTTTTAAATATATACAATAACCGTACAGCTAACTGCAAAAATCTTAAAGCTTGTTGGGAAAAGGAGCTAATGTTGTACAAGCGTAAGAGCTATGGATGACATGATTACTGCTTAATGAGCCAGCCTGCACAGCAGTCTGGTGATAAGGACTTATTTTTCATGGAATTGTTGCTAATGTTCCTAAACAGAGGCCTGAAGGAGGAACAATGGAGCAGACAATCTCCTATGATCAATATGTAATTGAAAAGAGGAGGTTGCACATTAAGGATTTATAAAACAAAGAAGGAATGGCAAGAAGTAGCATAACCACAAAACATGTACAGACTTGTCAACCAAGGAGGGGAATGTATCAGCTCCACAAGGTGACATCTCATTGCAAATGAAGCATCTGCTACTTTGATAGATGCGAGTGCTTTGGAGTTGGGTAAATTTCAAGAGGTAAGTGGTGGAGGCCCTCTTGTAGTGCAGAGATAGTGTCCCTACCTCTGGGTCAAGAGGCTTGGTTCAAGGCCCACCTACTCCAGAGGTGTGTAATAACATTTCTGAACAGATTGATTGATTAGAAAGATCAGTTAAATTTTTAAAAAGTAAAGTAATTAAACTTAATTTGAGGGCTAATTTTCAAGCTAAATTAGTTCTTTAACCCATTAATTAAAAGCTGCTCTGTTTGATTGTGTGTAATTTTAGTTACATTTCTGAAACAGGAAACAATTGAGTCACTCTTAGATTAAGCTGGTTAACTGAACGTTTGGTTTGATCCAGTTCAGAAGCATTCTTTAGGGCCTATTAAAAGGTGGCAATCTCAGTGCTGCTTGGCTAAACAAGAGTGTTTTGGAGTTGGGTGGAAATAGGGAGTTATGTGAGACGGGGAGAAAGTGAAGCTGAAAGACTGAGTGTGGTGCTCAGTCTCAGTCCTGGAAGTTCAGAAATTGACACAGTCCCAATGGAAACAGCCAGTTAATAAGTGACACATGCAGAGTATTTTCTTATAATTTTTAAAGCATAATATAAAATAAAGGTTGGGATTTTTGATTGTAATAAAGGTTTTAAAAATGAAAGAAGGTCCCTAGCTTAATTAAATTCTCTTAAAGGGAGCAGGCAGGCTAGGGTGGCTGCAAGGAAGAGCAAGAGCGGGTACCCAAGGTGGCGGCGAGAGTAGGAACAGGCTGCAAGGTGGCGAAAGCAGGCAGCCTGAGGCAGCAGGAGGTGGTGGTCGAGCTCAGCATGGCTAGGAGCTTATGGACCCTGGTGTTGAACTGTTAACTGTTTCTTTGTTTCACTACTTTTTACTACAAAGGACTATAATGTTTAACTTTTAAACTTTGTTTCATTTATTTTTCTGCTTTGTACCAACATACTGTACCAAGGTGAAACCATAAAATGCCGGAGATCACAGTGGGTCAGGCAGGATCTATGGAGAGAAAGGAAGCTAACATTGAGTCTAGATGACTCTTCATGAGTTTCACTTAAATCTATGCCCTGTAGTAATTAACATTTCCGCCCTCTAACTATCCATGCCTCTCATAATTTTATACACTTCTATCAAGTTGCCCCCTCAACCCCCAACACTCTGGCAAAAACAATCCAAGTTTGTCCAACTTCACCTTATAGCTAATTCACTCCAATCCAGGCATCATCGTGTTAAATCAATTTTGCACCTCCTCCAAAGCCTCCACATCCTTCCTACAGTGCAGCGACCAGACCATCACACAGTACTCCAAATGTGGCCTGACGAAAGTCTTATACAGTTGCAACATGACTTGCCAACTCTTAGACTTAATGTGTCAATTGACAAAGATAAGCATGCCACATGCCTTCTTTATCCTCTCATCCACTTGTGTTGCCACTTTCAGGGATCTATGGACTTGGACCCGAAGATCCCTCTGTATTTCAATGCCCATAGGAGTCCAGCCATTTATAGTATACTTGCCTCTTTCATTTGATCTCCTGAAATGCATCACCTCACACTTCCCACAGACTAAGGGGTTGGCCATGGAAACCCGCATAGGCCCAAGCTGTGCCTGCCCCTTCGTAGGATACGTGGAACGGTCCCTATTCTGCAGCTACACTGACACTATCCCCCACCTCCTTCTCCACTGCATCGATGACTGTATCAGCGCTGCTCGTGCTCCCATGAGGAGCTTGAACAGTTCATCAACTTCACTAACACCTTTCACCCCAACCTCAAGTTCACCTGGACCATGTCTGATACCTCTCTCTCCTTCCTGGACCTCTCTGTCTCCATCTCTGGTGACCACCTCGAAACTGATATCTATTTCAAGCCCACCGACTCCCACAGCGAGCTGGACTACACCTGCTCTTACCCACCTTCCTGCAAGAATGCGATCCCTTTCTCCCAATTCCTCTGCCTCCACCACGTCTGCTTCCAAGATGAGGCATTCCACTCCCGAACATCCCAGATGTCCTCTTAGTTCAAGGACCGCAATTTCCCCTTTCAGTGGTCGAAAATGCTCTCGGCTACATCTCTTGCATTTCCTGCACCTCTGCCCTCACATCCCCCACCCGCAACAAAAACAAAGACCGAATCTCCCTTGTACTCACGTATCGCCCCACTAACCTCCAGATTCAATGTATTATTCTCCGCCACCTGCAATCTTACCCCACAACCAAGGATATATTTCCCTCCCCACCCTTATCTGCCTTCCGTAGGGAATGCTCTCTCCACAACTCCCTCGTCCGCTACACACTCCCCACTAGCCCACCCACGCCCGGCACCTTTCCCTGCAACTGCAGGAAGCCGCTACACCTGCCCCTACATCTCTCCCCTCGCCTCCATCCAAGGAACCAAAAAATACCTTTCACATCAGACAGATGTTCACTTGCACATCCACCAATGTGGTTTACTGCATCCACTACTCCCGATGTGGCCTCCTCTACATCGGTGAGACCAAGCGTAGGCTCGGAGACTGCTTTGTAGAGCACCTGTGCTCTGTTCACGACAAATGACAACATCTTCCAGTCGCGAACCACTTCAACTCCCCCTCCCACTCCCTGGATGACATGTCCATTCTGGGCCTCCTCCAGTGTCACAATGACGCCACCCAGAAACTGGAGGAGCAGTACCTCATATTCCGCAATGGGAGCCTACAACCCAGTAGTCTCAATGTGGACTTTACCAGTTTCAAAATCTCCCCATCCCCGGCCTCATCCCATGACCAACCCCCCCTATCATCCCCGCCTCCTTGACCTGACACAACCTGTCCATCTTCTTTCCCATCTATCCGCTCCTCCACCTCACTGACCAATCCCCTCCACTGCCTACATGCACTCACCTATCACCATCCCACCTACCTTCCCCAGCCCCACCCCTCCTCTCTCTGTTTATTTCAGAGCTCCCTTCCCCCTCCCCCATTTCTGAAGAAGAGTCCCGATCCGAAACATCAGCTTTCCTGCTCCTCTGATGCTGCCTGGCCTGCTGTATTCCTCCAGCTCCACACTGTGTTATATCTCACCTCACACTTGTCTGGTTTAAATTAATCCTAACCCATCTACCATTTCTCTGTGCACTTTCCAGGTTGATCGTATCCTGTTGCATCCTTTGATATCTTTCCTCACTATCCACAACTCCAATAATTTTCATGTCATCTGTAAACTTATTAATCAGACCACCGACATTTGATCCAAATCATTTGTGTAGATTAAAAACAACAATAGTCCCAGCACTGATCCTTGTTGAACACTGACTGCCAATCAGATAAATACCCTTCCACAACTATCCTCTGTCTTCTATGGCCAAGAAATTTTGCATCCAACTTTCCAACTCACCATGGATTCCATGCAATTTGATCTTCTGTACCAACCTACCATGAACCTTGTCATCGATCATACTCATCGATCATCTCCTCACTTCCTCAAAGAGCTTTGTGAGACAAGACCTC